TCCTCACATAAGCAAAGAAATTACAGTGCAACCTAACTGATTCAAAATAATTATGAAATATTCAGTACATTTTAATAATTTACTATTAAAATGACTAGGTTGGGTGACTTAAGTTTTTGTAATTACATTTTCAATATCATTAGATATGAAATTTTGAACTTAAGAGAAACGGATAAGATGTGGATGATGAAAGATTTTCTAAATTTAATTCCCAGAGGTATCTGTGTGTAGTCTGTTGCACAGAAAACAACAGAGCCTTTTGGAATCTGAAGGATTAACACTTTTTTTGGTGTGTTTGTTGACTGTACCCCTCTTTTTAAGATGCAGGCCATTGACTAGATCTGAAAAATTTATTTTCACATATACTTTGTATGAAAGAAGGCAGCAAATAAAACATGAGGAATCAGATAAATCTGTGAAGAAGCTTCACAAATGCAGAATAACAAATAAGTCAGGGTGGATAAAAATCAATTATTTTTTAAAAATGAAATTGATTTAAGTAAAAAAACCAGTATATTCGCGAAGGCCAGATTTTTTAATTTAAATTGTGATTTACATCAAGTTGACTTCTGATTTAAATTAATTTAAATCAAATCCACCCTGCAAGGAAATATTTAAAAAAATTTTTTTCTTTGCAAAATTATACTTTCTACCTATTGCAGAGAAGACCCTTCGTGAGGATTTGAACGAATTCCATTCTCCTCTCTCGTTTTTTGTTTATTTTTTTATGTTTAGGAAAGCCTTATTTAGGAAAACCAATATAGCACATGTACTTTGTTTAAAAAAAAAAAATAAAGGGCTGTATTCTCTTATAAGACAATGACATATATGGCCTCTTCTGATATTTGGATACAGTATATACTTTCTAAACTGTGTGTCCTTTTTTTAATATGGTGGAATGATAACCTATTGGAGTTCATTATGCTGTCAATCTGTATTTGCTGGCAGATTTCTCCAGCAAAATTTTGGAACCTACAATGTGCTGAGTAGACCTTCAATGCAATAAATGTCAAATCAAGTCAAGAACTAAGTAAGGTGTGAATATCTATATACTCAAACAGAGACAACATGAACATTTGCTCTATAGAAGGACTCAAATATTGTACAGTAGATGTTGACAAAAAAGATGGTTTTAAATATGGAACATGTTTGTGAGTGAATGAGTGAGTGAACATAATACTTCAAGAATCATTCCCACACTTAAAAGTTTTTTTTAACTGTATTTTTGTGTCCCTGTTCATGTCTTGGCTTAGAGACATGATGTTCACTCATAAATAAATAAAAGGAAAGCCCCAGCATTTCATAATGATGCCCATACTGATCAGCTGCTAACTATGCTTTGAGTAGATGAATGGTGTGACTCTATTTTGTCTAAATTTAGATGGGGGTGGCTTGCTGTTAGTTTAACCTCCTGAGGAGGTCTGCTCTGAATTGAGGATTCACTCAAGTTGGATTTGACTGCTGTTCAGAGCATTTCCTATTATTGGAGCACATGTCATTTAGACTTGTGGCCATCATTAATTTTCACATAGCTGTCTAGAGCTCTCCTTTCAGAAGACTCAGCACAGCTGGACTTTTATGTTAAACTCTTTTGTCATCAGTGAAACTTCATACATTAACTTTTCTGCATTGAACTATAATGTCTTGTAGAGGATTCTGGAATATATTTTAAGATGTACACTCAGTTCTCTTCAAGGCAATGGTCTGTAATGTCAGTGTGAAAAACAAATGTTTGTCCCAGCATTTGTTCTTTTCCACACCTCTGTTTCTAACATTCTTGTAATTGCATTTCCATCTACAAGGAAACCGCATTGTCAAAGGGAAAACATAAAGTACCTCTTCTAATTATTTGCTAATTGATTTCCCTACTTTGACCTTTAGTATTTCCTGAAAATTTTGTGTGGTTTTCTGTTTTGAAGTAAGGGGCTGCATCCATGATGGGCCAGCACATTTCCTTTCTCTTTCATCTCTTCTGCACTTCTTGTACCCATCTCAAATCTGTTCTGGAAGATCTCCAGCTCTCCTTAGTAGAATTTGGGAATATGTAGGGGTGAGGGCATTTGTTTTGCCAGCAGTGCCCAGTCTGCTGATGGAGAGGCATCATTGGCTATAGCACAACTTAACTGTGTCCCTATCAAAAATAATGACGCAAGATTTGAAAGATGGTAATGTTGAATCAGAAACTCTTCTTAAATCTAGCCATAATTTAAAATCAAAGGGGGCCAGAAATGATAGGTAAGAAAATATGTTATTTCTAGTATGTTAAAAGAAGAGTACTGTATAAATCATGGCTGAAAAGCTGTGTCTCTGGTGGTGGCTGAAGAGGACTATCGGCTGTAAATTCTAAAAGCCATCCTGGCATTATATATGCAGCATCTAAAGTTACATCATACCAATTTTGTTTGTCTTCAGAAAGTTGTTGTGTGACTGTGTATGTTGATGTCTGATGGAACATGTGACTGTAAGCAGTGCATGGTTTGCTGTCATTTGTATTCAACCTCTTCTAAGCAGATTAAAAATATAAAAGAGGATTTTATTTGTTGTCTGTGTGTGCTTCTTGGAAAAAAATACTGTAACATGAGAGCACAGGTGCATACACCAATATAAGTCAGCAACTGAACACTTCTAAGATCTTAAAACACTGTCTGAATGTCATGTACAACTCTTACAAGTAGCTAGACAGGGTAATGCCTCAAGTTAAAATAAGATTACAGTTAAATATTGAGGCTGGTGTAACAGTGCCTCTTGAAACAGAACAAAGCCCCAAGAATGATTTAGCCTCTCTTAGTACTGCAGCACTAAAACATGGATTCTTGGATAACATTGATTCATTTCAGTCTAGTTTCAGGCCTGGTTATGGGACTAAAACTGCTTTGGTCACTTTGGTGGATAATCTGTGCTGTGAACTGGACAGGGAGACCTGTTCTGTTGTACCTCTCAGCCGCTTTCAGTGCCTTTGACCATAGTACGGTAGATCTCTGAGTCTTCTCTCTGGGATGGGACTTGGAAGACACTTGGGATGACTCTCATGACTGGAATACATCAGTTGAGGGATATAAACTGGACAGAAAGAACAGAGAGACTGAAAAGGGAGATGGAGTTGCAGTGTATGTCAAAGATACATATTGCTGCACAGAAATACAGGAGGAGGAGAGTGGCCCGAAAAACATCGGAACAAAGGGGGAAAAAAAAAAAAAAAAAAAGGAAGTTGGTAGCTGGAGTCTACTACTGACCACCCAATCAAACAGAGGAAGTGGACAAAATTTTTGAAAAACGAATTGCAGGGTTTTCAAAGAGACACATCTTTTAGTGATGGGAAATTTAATTTATCCATTATATGTTGTTTCTGTCTTCTAGGGTATTAGCTATCCTGCCCAATTTTGTATCATCTGCAAATTTGACAAGCATTCCCTGCACACCCTCATCTAAGTCATTAATAAAAATATTGAAGAGCACCAGGCCCAGGAATGAACCTTGGGTTCCCCACTTGTTACCTCCTCTCAGTTAGAGAATGACCCATTAATCATCACCGTCAGAGTACCATTCTGTAGCCTATTGTATATCCACCTGACACTTGATCTATCCCGCCCACACCTAGTTAGCTTGTTAATCAGGATATCGTGGGGCAATTTGTCAAAATCTGTTGAAGTCAAGATATACTACGTTTACAGCATAGGGTAAAAATATAGCAATACCTTGAAGATAACTTTGCTAACACAGAATATGAATGAATATTTTATACTTCAGAAATCCTACAATGACCCAATCCAAAATGAAACCAATGTATTAATTACATTTCTTCTTGTTTTGCCTTCCTTCTCTCCTGTGTTTTACCTGTGTATTATATTTAATTACACATTGTCAGAGTATAAAATTTACAGGTCTGAGCAGAACAAATGTCCTAATGAGCAGCCATGATGT